AGAGAGAGAGAGAGAGAGAGAGAGAGAGAGAGAGAGAGAGAGAGAGAGAGTCTGTGCATAGAGAGTAAGTAGGAGAGTAAGTAGGAGAGTAGTATAGGTGGTCACACAATAGGAGAGCTACTGCATTGTGGTTGTATTGATGAGTGGAGGCAAGAAGTTGGGCTTTCATTACCAAGAGACTCCAGTGTCAGTGTGTACTGATTTGGTGTGCTCTTGGCGTTTTGATTCGTCTTTCAACTTTGCTCATATCTGCTGGATCTTCTTTCAGTCCTTTCTGCACAGGAAATTTTGTGTTCTCATTGATTGGTTCTTTGCACTATAGGCGCTTGAATGATTACATGGATTTGAAATTTGAATTATGAACCTCCCATGTCTGGCTTTCATTGAACTCCAGGCCCACACGAGGATGCAATCCTCTCATTCAACGTGGCTAGCGGTAGGCCTTCGTAGACGAATCGGATCTTCAGAGTTCGCCACCCTGAATATCAGATGGCAAAATCAACTTAGGATATGAAGTAAAAGAACAAACAAATGCAACAACTGCGACGAACTCAGTTCAAAATCCATACAGATATTACAGAGTCAATATTACGGACACACTCCAGAATCATAACTTGGTCCAAGTCAATATTCAGGGGTCAAAAGTCACGCCGTCTCTTGCCCTGTAAGGAATCCAGAAAGTCCACAAGTCAACAGGCATTGGGTCAAATGTCAAAAGACAAGCTCAGGTGACCTATCACAGCATCTGCCGACTCTTGGATTCCAAGAGAGTCGGGCCCAAAATGGGCACGGTGAATCGAGAGTCGTAGATTTCCCAGGACCCAGGAGTAAAAAAAAATAAAAAATAAAACATAAATAAATAAAATTCCAGGAGTCAACCATGGCCATAGATCAGTTGCATACCAAAGGCTGTCTGCAGAGTTCCAGAAGTTTAAGAGCCATTGGGCCCAGGCACACACCTGCCGACAAGTTCGACAACAAATCTTGGCCATCGAAGATGGGGAAATCTCAGTCGTTCGATGACCGAACTGAGGCAGGATTGAGGCCGGCTTGGACCAGCCTCCAACATAAATAACTCCGTCTGCTCCAGTTGCTCATTCATTCTGCCTTACGCTGCTGGAGGCTGGAGCACTGCTCCACTTAGCGCTGGAGGAAACAGGAGATGCTGATGCCAGAGAGGAAGCAGACACCACCAGCCAGAAGAGAAAAGAGAGACAGTAGCCATAGCTAGAGTAGAGCGCCAAGCGCCATAGCTATAGTGTAAGGGTGACCAAGACCTGTGTGGGGAGAGAGAGAGAGAGAGAGAGAGAGAGAGAGAGAGAGAGAGAGAGAGAGAGAGAGAGAGAGAGAGAGAGAGAGAGAGAGAGAGAGGGGCTTACCTGACTTACTTGTGGTTGCTGGTGGATTTGAGACAGTGGTTTGCTCCTGAAGACTGGATGTGCTAAGTGCCATAGCTGAGCTTTGTGCTGGAGGTTGGCCCGGCTTGTAAGGACTGGTGCGAGGGACTTCATCAGTGGTGGCAATTGGGAGGGACATGCTGAGGTGGTGAGTCTGGTGGGAGAGGCCTGAAGTTGAAGGGGATGGAAGAGCCATTCAATTTTAATATTTTATCCATTTATTATTAATGAAACTTTCCTCCTCTCCACATCTCTTCCACCTTTGTCTTATTTCTGGATACTTGCTGCTGAGGCTCGAGACTACAGTATGTGCGGTGCAACTACATGCATGATTCTGCTGTTGACGGCTTCTCAGAAGTTTAAGTGCAATAAGGCCCTGTTTTTTCTTTTTTTTTATTAAAAAAAAAAAAAAAGTTTAGGTGCATTACACAGGGCTGTAATTGGAGAAATTGGAATTGAATCTTTTCAAAACGAGTTATTTCCTTTCTCTGTGGTGTATTCCAGGTCCTTTCGAAACGACCTCTGTGCACTCTCAAGATGGAGACCAGGCTTTATGAGCATGTGACTGCTGAGCTGGAGGTGCAAAATCCTTATCCCAATGATTGTGAGTTCACCGTAAGGTTGGAACAGGCCTTCGAGGGTATGGGGGGAAGGGGGGGGGTCCGAAGTGTAGGTGGAGCAAGAGGAGGAGGAGGAGGAGGAGGAGGAGGAGGAGGAGGTGTTGGTGCAGGTGGCGGGGGACCGGGGATGACATCGGCCGCTCCACAAGGAGGTGGTGGGGGAGGAGGAGGAGGAAATGTTGTAGCAAGTGCTGGAGTAGGAGCATCAGCAGCAGAAGCGGGAGGAGGCGGAGGAGGAGGAGGAGGAGGAGGAGGAGGAGGTTCAGGAATGACCCAGGATGCTGGCAATGGTGGTGGCAAGAAGGCTGGTGGGCCTTCGAATCGCGGGAACCTTTCTGGTGCCCCTACCAATCCCAACCGTCCTTCAAAGCCCTCAAATCCTCTGTCATCCACAGGAGGAAGCAATGCACAATTTTCGACTGAGACTCTCCCAAGCAGTGCCATGTCGGCATTTCCAGATGCATTCGGATGTGATCGAGCTTCTGTGCGCCTCAAGGCTGGTGTCGGTGTCACCAAAATTTGTATCCATTTCCTGCCATTCCAGGTGGGCAACTATACCTGCATTGTTGTGCTGGAGGACAAAACATTTGGAGAGTTTGTTTACAAAGTGGAAGGAGAGGCTAAGCTTCCATCCCCCATACAGGTGTGTGAATCGTTCTTCCTTCCTTCCTTCCTTCCTTCCTTCCTTCCTTTCTTTCTTTCTTTCTATCTTTCTTTTTTTCTTTCTTTCTTTCTTTCTTTTCTTTTCTCTTCTTTTCTTTTGCTTCTTTTTTCTTTGTTTTCTTCCTTCTTCCTTTCTTTCTTTCTGTCTTTCTTTCTTTCTTTCTTTCTTTCTTTCTTTCTTTCTTTCTTTCTTTCTTCCTTCCTTTCTTTCTTTCTTTCTCTTTTCTTTTGTTTTCTTTTGTTTACTTTTCTTTCTTTCTTTTTTTT